ACCTTTTTAGGAATAAAATGTGGATTATACCCAACCCATACAAGGCTTTCTATTTCCTTGGCCCCAGACAAATTTCTAATCAGAATTTTCTCTTGGCTCTTTCCAATTCTTGGGGAAAGTCAAACTTACCTTGCTTGAGCAATGAATGGAATTAATTTATGGAGGAGGAAGTCATCAGCTCAACAAAATTATGATCATTCCTTTGAGAAGGGAGGTAATAAATGGGCTTTGGAAAGTCAAAGACTCTGTGATATCATTACCTGGATCAATTTTGGGACTTAAGACCCTTTTTTGGCCATTTGAGAATTATGATTTATGATTCAGCTTCTCCATGAATAGAGATGGATTAAGATGGGCTTGCAAATTTTGCCACTGGGGCAAAATATTATAGCTACTTCCATTTCTTTAAAGAAACATTTAGGGTCCATCTTATAAGCTGGGATTGGCAAACTTTTTTCTATAGAAGCCCAGATATTTGAGTCTTTGCCAGCCATACATTCTCTGTCACAACCATTCAACTCAGCTGATACAGCACAAAAGCAGCCATAGACAATACGTAAATAAATGAGTGTAGCTGTGATCTAATAAGACTTTATTTACAAAAACAGGTGGCAGGCTGGATTTGGCCCGCAGGTCATATTTTGCCAACTCCCATCTCATAAAACCATTTGCTCTGTGCAACAGTGTCACTCTGAGGAGAGAATATGTCCAGTGACATTCTTAAAAAGGAAGTTGATGCTTTGATATAACAAAATTTTGAGGTCTAGTTGTTCTATCATTTCCTAAGTAACTTTGAATAATGTCAGAGTCTACATTTAACATGAGCCCTAAGTCATTCATGTACATTACATCTGGAGACAAGCAAGTCTCAAACGCTAATCAATTTCTAGATACTGATTTAGTCTGAGGCCTGAGATTCTGCATTTTTAACAAGCTCTTAGGTGATATTGATGCTGTCAGTAGATGATACTTCAAATAGCAGAGATCTATTTTAGACTATTCTATACAAAACCCACTGCTGGAATAGAACATGGGAGCAGTTATACCACCACCACCTATCCAGTCCTTCTACCTCCCAAACAAAAGAATGCACATAAAATACTATGCTAAACGTTGTGCAAAAACAAAAATACCTGACAGAGACTCAGACCTTAACTAAGAGTGGATCACAATTTTTGATGGGGAAAAAAAATCTCCTATACATAAAGCATTAATCATATAAAAGATCACATTAATATTTCTTATAAGACAATTAGATATAAGTGAGAAATCCTGAAAAATTCTATGCATGTCTAGAAAGGAGACCCCCAGTCCTTCTCATCCATTATAAAGGAGGAAGCAGGGGCTCTATGCTCCAAGAGGCAAGAACTTGGAGCAGGTTCAGGATCAAAGGCCATTCAGTGAGCATTGCCAGCCAGGAATACTTAACAACATTATTCCTGAAGCCCACAATGTGAGGTTAAAATATCTAGTGTAATATGAAAAATTATAAAGAGATGAGAATTGAAACAATGAAAATCAGGTTCTTGCTAGCAGCCCAAGATCCACTCTGAGAGCAATAGAGTTTGTGGTTGACCCTTCAATCTACCCTTGTAAACTATGAAGAGCAAAACAAAAACAAAAAATTGAGATCTTAGAAAATGCTGGCTCAAAGTGTCTCATGCATACATGTATTTTAGGTCCCCAAATGATTTATTGTTGACACCTTAAATCTGATTCAGAATGGCAGCCACACTCAGCAAGAGGAACATCAGAAATGAGCATCTGCAAAAGGGAAGCCATCCTTCCCTCCTAGAGCACATCGCACACAGATGCTGAATCCCTAAGATGGCATCCAGATGTCTCAGCCCAGCCAACGGTCAGGGCTTTCCCTGAATTGGCAGCTACCCTCCTTTCCAGCTTTATTTTCCACCACTCTGCAACCCAACCCTTTGCTCCAAGTAGATTGCTATTGCCTCTCTTCCCTCCGCCCCAATGCCCAGCACAGTCCTTGTCCCCCAGGTCACTCTGGGTCCTTATTGCCTAGCTCAGCTCCAGCAATAATGACTGCCCTACACCTTTCCTTCTACACATTGAATTCCTTCCTAGCCTTCAAGGTTTGGCCCAAGTTCCACACCCTCTATACCCAAGGCATGTATTCCTTGAGCATCCCAGCTTCAAATGTTCTCTCCTTCCCGATCACTGTTCACTCTCTTGACTCACATTTACCCCCTCTAAGTGTAGTTCCCTTTTTTATTCCTTTCCTCTCCTGTTAGCTCATAAGAAACTTAGGCTGGGATCATCCCTTATTTATATTTTTACCCCTTCAAACCACTTCCAGAGTCACTTACGCATCACAGCTGCTCAATGAACTTCGTTATTATTTTAGTAAGTGAAAATACTGTCCCAAGTTCTTGAATCCCATGAACCTATTAAGGAGCTTGTGCTCTGAGCCACAGTTCTTTCTTGAAGTTGCTGAAGTCTGCTCTCAGCTTATGCTTTTCAGAATGTTTCTGGAGCCCTGTGCATCCAGAAATGTCTAGGTTAACCTTCCACTCCTCCCCTCCATTTTGCTTTGAAGGGCTCTTTCCTCAGTTTCTGATAGTTTCTGTCCCTCTCTGCTGGTGGTAAACCCACAATAGCTGTTGGCTTTTTGGTTACTTAGGCGCTGATCCTGAGTTTACCTTTTCTAAATAATCCTGGCACAGCCACATTCCAAAATCTCAGATGTTGAGGTCTACACAGCAATGTGATCACCGAGTCTCTGGCTGCAATGCATTCAGTGACAAGCAGACGTCCCCCAGGTTTGTTCCCATCACAGCCCCAACCTCCACCATCCTCACTGCCACCCCCATCCCCAGCACCCAGGATGTGCTGTCTTCACGCCCTGGAAAGCATGCCCAGAAGGACACACGAAACCAGAAGCTCCAATCAGGAACTCATGAGAAACAGACCACTCCCAGGTCCCTTGCTGTGGGAAAGAGACAGCTTCTATCTAATGGAATAAAATCAAGTGACTAGTGGAAACACGGGTTTTCCTCTTTAAAGGGGAAAGTAATGCTGGCAGAGTTGCTCTTTTGAGCTGCCCTCCAATGATCTTGGAAGAGTCATTTTAGGAGAAAGAAGGAAAGGAAGAGAATGTGAGTGACAAATGGAGAGAAGCACATGGAGAAAGAGAGGGAGACAAAAGGAGAAAAAACAGGAGAAAAACAGAGGGGGAAAGGAGGTGGGATGGAGAGAATGAGGATCAAGAGGAGAAGGGAGCAGAGCAGGATGCGGAGAAGGGGGGGAGAAAGGGGAAGAGAAGGGGAAGAGGGAGGTGAGGGCAGAGGAAGCCTGGGGGGCCGTACTGCTGGGTCTCACAGTCACCAGCCACTGGTGCTGTGGCAATCATGACTCTTCCCTCTGGGAGCTCTAACATCCAGGAGGGGACAGGCTCCCCACTGGCTCATTAAAAATATTCAATGCTACAAAATCTGTGCCAGAGTTCCCTCACCCCCAAAATAAACGACTGAACAGAATTCAGGGGGTTTAATCTCCAAAGTCTGTGGTTACCCATTGAAGATGCAAGATCTTTGAAAATTAGATGGCCACACATACAGATTAAACCTCATGGTCCACATTACCCATTAATAACTTCCCCTTTTCCTCACAAGCGCTCCAGATTGGATGATAAATTATTTGGTCTTCCCATTAATAAGAAACACAAGAAGCTGAGACGTATTAAACTTCTAAACAGACTGAAGTACTCAGTCTGATCATTCCCAAAAAAAGAATGAGCCTGGATTAGTGACCAGAGGACTCTTCCTTATAGAAGCCAAAGTTCTTGAGACAGTTCCGGGTATGAGACTGTGATAGTGGGGTGCAGGAGGACACCCAAATCAGACTTCACATGACAAGGCTATATATAGCACTTGCCTTAGATATTGAAATAATGATTACTGGAAATAGTTATTTAAAATCGCATGGCAGGGGAAGAAAAGACCACAATGATAGTTTCTGAAAGGTAAAGTAGAATGATTCATAGATAAATAATGTTTGGGAAATCTAATGTAATAGAGAAACCCTGTAATAACTTCTGGTTAGTGGTTAAGTGTAGCTATTCATTCTAAAATGTACACTGTGAAGGCTCCAGTTAAGACCTGTTAGCTCTTCAGGATCTCTGAAGTACCAAGAGTCTGCCATAACAGGAAGAAAGGAGAAAGGGGAGGGGAGGGGTGGGGAGGGAAGGGAAGGGAAGCTCCAGGCTAAGAAGGTCTCAGACCCATGAAATTGCTACAGTTCTAGATCTGTTGGTGGGATTTGAGCCCGCCAAAGGGATGAACCAAGAAGTTCCATTCAGATCAAAATCCACCTACAGCAGACCACCTTGGTATGTGGGAATGCTTCCTGGTTTCCTAACAAAGCTTCTGCAGTGTTCATGCTTCTCTTTTTGCCTTGACTCCTAGCTAAGTATTATACTAATCTGCAGTAAGTAGCCCTGGGCTACGTTTTCTTGTACATTTAACTCTCCCAGAACTTTATTATAAGACTCTTGTCCCATTATCCTGGTTTTAAAGGTTCTATTAAGTATTGTTTTACTCTAAATCACCTCAAATTATCGCTAGGAGGAAGCAATTTATAAAAGAAAATTTTAAAATACGATTGTAATATTAGAAGACATATCAATCCAGAAACTCCAGAGATTCCAGTGGGCCCTGTAGGCACAGCCAAGTTCCAGAATAAGGTCAGATACCCTGGGTCACTCAGAGCTCGATAAGACTCCCTGAACCAAGACACCCCAGGACTGCCCTCTAATCTAGGGTTGTCACAACTGGATCAGTGGCAGTAGAATGAGTTAGTTGACATCCAACATCATGATCACATGACATTTGGTATCAGCTCTAGGCACAGAATCCGAGCGCTCAACTTTCCCTGTGACACCAGCCAAGATACATGAGGGGGTCCAGGGGAGCCACGCCTCTCTGCCACCACCCCCAAGCTCATGCAGTGACAGGGATTCAGCCACTGCCCCTACTTACATCAACAGGTGCAGGACATTCTCTGTGGAGCAGGATCCTCAGAAACAGCTAGCCTTTGCTTCTCTTCAATTATTTCAGCTTCTTCAAAATAATTCAAGCCACAAGCCTTGGAACTTTCTAGAGCATGGAACCCCAGACCAGTCGTAGATCTCCCTTTATGGAAGCAGGGGAAAAAGGGAAAGCAATATTTTATTACAAACTTTAGCTTCATTCACATTTCTTTCCTCCTTGGCACTCCAATCCACCACTGTATACAACAGAAACCTTGCAAGCACACCAGGGGCTGAGGGAGTTGGACACATCCCAGAGGACCTTGAAGGGCTTCCGTTTATGCCTACTAGGATTTACCTGGTTAGAAGTTAAAACTGAGACTTTTAAATGTATCACGAATGAGTTCACTAAATAACAGTAATTATGATAACATAAATAATAACTTTCATCAAAAAAAAATTTAGTGAGAAGAGTGACATCGTTTTACATTTTTTTTTAATTTCTTAAATATTTGGCTTCACTGAACACAGTTGGATTATCATATCTGCTTCTGGATTCGATTTGTTGCAATATAACATGTCACTTAACCTCTGGAAAACTCCACCGTACACTCACGGGAGAAGGACAGTGAAAAAAGCAGAGCTAAGCTTAGCATTACTAGGAAAATAATTTTGATCTGTGGGTCCCCTGAAAGAATCTCAAGGACTCCCAGAGATCCAAGACAAAACTGGGAACCATTGCTCCTCAGGGTGTCTCCCCCGCTTAAGAGGTAACTAGTTATCAGGTACTCAGTAGTTTTCTAGAAATACTGACACATATATAAAAAAACTATGGATGCATAGATCTTTTTTTTTTTAATTTTAAAAAATCAAGTGTTAGCATACCCTACATTTCACCTTGTCTTTTCTGTTATATGTGTTGGGGATAGACAGCTCCATTTCAGCACACTTAGTTACTTCTTTTTTTTTTTTTTTTTTTTTTTTTTTTTTTGAGACAGAGTCTCACTCTGTTGCCCAGGCTAGAGTGAGGGCCTTGGCATCAGCCTAGCTCACAGCAACCTCAAACTCCTGGGCTCAAGCCATCCTCCTGCCTCAGCCTCCCAAGTAGCTGGGACTACAGGCATGTGCCACCATGCCCGGCTAATTTTTTTCTATATATATTTTAGTTGGCCAATTAATTTCTTTCTATTTATAGTAGAGACAGGGTCTCACTCTTGCTCAGGCTGGTTTCGAACTCCTGACCTCGAGCTATCCACCCGCCTCGGCCTCCCATAGTGCTAGGATTACAGGCGTGAGCCACCGCGCCCGGCCTAGTTACTTCATTTCTTTCCACTGTCCCATTGCATCCCACCGAATGGATGTAACGACACACAGTGGCACAGTTCAGGTGGGTCGCTGAATGGCTGCTGCTCCTCTAGTGAAGGATCCAGAGCTTCCTGGGAGCAAAGTGGCCACACTGAGCAAGAACAAATGCTTACGTATCTTAGGACCGTTTCCCTCTGGCTTCTGCTTTAATAACAAGGCACGCAGCAGAAGTTTCCAAACTTGAGAAAACACCCACGCTTCTACTATACTCGTGCCACTGTTTACTTGGGGCTTACCCCATTACTCCAAAAACCTTAAATTAACTAGCTCTGAGCCAGTTTTTATAGGGATGTTTACAAACACCAGGCTCTTCGGGTCCTTGAAACACTGTTACCGTCATCAGTGTCACATCATCTTCAGGGAAGAAAGTAGGGCCCAAATGTCCCCACACAGTATTCTTGAAAGCTGTTTCCTGCAGTAGTAAGGTGAAAAAAGGTCAATCCTGTCGGTTCACAGCTTACCTGGCGTAGAAACTAGGGGAAACCCCACCTCACACAGCTATTTAATAATTTGGTCGGGTCACACAAAGGCCTCAAGCACTGGAAGTGAACCGTCTGGGTTCACTTCCTCACTCTGAGATTACTAGCTGTACAATCTCAGGAGGTTACTTAGCTTCTACTTGTAAAATAGAGATGATACCTAATCATATACAGTTACTAAGAAGAATAATTGGCCGGGCGTGGTGGTTCATGTCTGTAATCCTAGCACTCTGGGAGGCCGAGGCGGGAGGATTGCTTGAGCTCAAGAGTTCGAGACCAGGTTAAGCAAGAGCAAGACCCCGTCTCTACTATAGATAGAAAGAAATTAGCCAAACAACTAAAAATAGAAAAAATTAGCCAGGCACGGTGGTACATGCCTGTAGTCCCAGCTACTCAGAAGGCTGAGGCAGGAGGATTGCTTGAGCTCAAGAGTTTGAGGTTGCTGTGAGCTAGGCTGATGCCACGGCACTCTAGCCCAGGCAACAGAGTGAGACTCTGTCTCAAAAAAAAGGAATCTTTCCTTCCTCTCCAAGAAAATACCAAATGGTGGATGACGCTGGTGCAGCGGAAGAAAAAAAAGTTAATAGTAATTTATACAACAGAGTTTATGAGCTCCTAGTATGTAATATGTACTACAGTCGATATAAAGATGAAGAAAACATGTTCATCTTTGGCCTCAAATAAGAGACAGTGGATAAGATAGAGTAAATATAACTATTAATGTGGTTTTATAGATATACACACACACAAAACCACATATATATATGTATATCTATATCTATATACATATATATAGATAGATAGATAGATTTGGGTTGCTGGGGTAATAAGATAGAAGAGAATAAGGTGCTAAAACAAAGAGAAATCAAGCCAGCTGAGTGTTCCCTGAAGCCTTGTTGAAGGAGTGAGGAGGCATCATTTGAGCTGACTTTTGAAATATCACTAGGATTTAGCCAGGTAGAAAGGGAGAAGATGGCTGGGCGCGGTGGCTCACGCCCTGTTCTGTGAGCTAGGCTGATGCACGGCACCTCCTCTAGCCTGGGCAACAAGTGAGACTCTGAAAGAAAAGAAAAAGAAAGAAAGAAGAAAGAAGAAGAAAGGAAGGAAGGAAGGAAGGAAGGAAGGAAGGAAGGAAGGAAGGAAGGAAGGAGATGAAAGTCTAAGAAAAGGGAGCAAATCGACAGGCAAGCTATGGGACGAGGAGATGCGTAAACAGTTGGCTGGAGGACAGGAACATGGAGGTGACTGAAGATGAAGCTGCAAGATGGCTGAGGCAGGAAGACACAGGCTGTGGGTGCTGGCAAGGGCTGGGCATGCGAGGTCCGGGAAAAGCTTTGAGGGAGAGGGCTGGCACACTCAGGGGAGCTCCGTGTGGGGGGCTTTAGAGGAGACACCAGGCCAGAGTGACCAATGAGAGCCTGATCCACAATAACAACACCAGGAAGGGAAAAGAAATAATTGGAGATACAATAATAATTCGGAGAGGAATGAGGATTGAGCAGTGACTAGCTGCAGGAGGGAAGAAGGAAGGAGTCAAAAAGAAGCTCGAGTTTCCAGCCTGCATGTGACCAGAAGCACTATTTTTTCAAATTATTTTTTTAAAACCTGGAATCGGTTTGTAAGGGAAGATAGTGAGTTTGGTTTTGAACATAAGGATTTTGGTTTCCTTAGAATGGAAACAGACACATCAGCAGAGAGGTGGAAATGTGAGCCAGGCATTCAAGAGAGTTTGGTGTTAGAGATACATATTTGAACTTCGACTACATAAAGGCAATAATTAAAGTCTGTAAACCCAGATGAGATGATCTGGGGAAAAGAAAGAGAAAACTGAAGACGGAATCTTGGTGCCCACCTGCATTGGATGGGGGGTGGGAGGGAGGAGAACATCTCTATTTCCTTTACCACAGTCCAGGTAAGACACAGGATAACTTAAAAATAATTCCTCCTCATAAAACATCAGGAATCCCAGATCCAACCCAACTCCCTTATTTTGCAGATGAAGAAAACTCATCCCCAGAGGGTTAACTGATTTATCCAAGGCCTCCCTGCTTCTTAGCATCAAAACTGATAATAGATGGATTAAGTAACCACAGGGAATTCCTATTGCCTTAGCAACCAGAATAGTTGCACGTGTACCACATAACATGGCTGGATTCAGAGAAGCCTGAGAACAAGCTAGAAAGTCTCATTTATCTCTGTTATATCAGGCCAGCACTGTAACTGTCCCAACTGTATCAGCTCAGGGTTCAAACCACCACCTTATTCATCTTCTTGTCATTGTCCCCTGTACTGTCCCTTTCCCCACCACCAGAGTTATTACAAAGTAGAAAATATCACAGATTATTTTTCTCTTTTGAATATGCACGTGATCGCAGACTTTTGGAGCTGAAAAGAATGGAAGAGTTCATCTAGGATTAGTATGACCCCTGTGGAAACTGAGGCTCAGAGAGATTCACGACTTGCCCGAGATCAACAGTTAGTGGTGGAGCCGGGACCCAAATCCCAGACTCTTGCTTCTACCAACCTTTAATGCAAGACACTTATTTTTAAGACAAACTTTCTAGTCCCTAATTTCTCCAAACATATGGTGTCCGGTCCTCTTCCCTCAAGGTGCTTCTTTTAAGAAGATCTCCATGGTGCAATGAGTTTGTGGAATGCTGTAAGCTGGGATAGTCAAAATGTCTATTATCATCACATTAAAGACTTTGAGGTATCCTGTAGTAAAGAAACTTGTTTAATTCTCTAACAATATTGGCCAAACTTATTGGGCCACAGAACTCTGACACCTCCCCCAGGCCTGTTATCTAGTAAAAAAAAAAAAAAAAAAAACCCACAGGTTTCCAAGGATTATACTTTCAGAGAAAGCAACGAAGTCTCATTAGTGAGATTTCCTTTGTAGGTCCCAAGTAGAAGTGTCACTCCTGAGTGGTCCTCACTGTGGGGACCAGGAGAGGGAGAGATGAGAGATGAGAGAAGGAACGAGAAACAGAAAATAGTCCCAGTCTTTTGCAGAGCCATCTGCGCTGCCAACAACAGCTTAAGGCACTCATCTCCCACTAAAGGTTCTTGTGGGAAAATCGGGTTTACTGCTTTCATACACTCCACACCAGCTGATGTACGAGTTCCATTCTGCTTCTGCCACCATTCGTGGTGGTGCCATCTCAAGAGTGTCCTTCCATATCCACTCTAGCTCTTCCTAGCACACCCCACCACCCTGGTGTCTGACCTGCGTTGTCTCACATCTGAAATGAGTCTCCCTGACTTGATCCCTTCTCACCTGCAATTTACCTTACATGCCGAGGATACATTGGTCTTCAAA